CCACTTTGAGTACAACTGTGTACTGATGTTGCAGAGTTCGGTCGCCTGTATATAGGTGTCGGCCTCCATCAGTGCCTCTTGGAGGGTAGCAACCCTCTTTCTGACGTGGTCGAACTTAAAGGCCGACCCTTCTTTCAGACCTTTGAAACAGTCTGTATCGGCCACTTCATCAGACAACCCTAGAATCTGAATTCTCATCAGATTGAACCGCCTGATTATGACCGAAGCCCTTCTCTATCTCCCTGCTGAATGGCACCCAAGTCCAGACTTGTTTTCTTAGCAGGGATATTCATAGAGAAGTTGGACGCAAACAAGTACACAAGCGTCTTGAAATTGTTGATGCATCCGGCTGGCAAGTTACCGAACCATTGTTGGGCAACGCCCTTCAATGTGGCCGGGAAGCATCGGCACCATGCGGCATCATCCAGCCCTTGTAAATACATAAGGTTGGTGTAAGCAATAAGGTGATCTTCCGGATTGGTGGTACCATCATAGGTACCTACCAGAACATTTTAACCTTGGTCGGCTGTGCAGCCTCGGTTATTTCCTTGGAGAACGCAGAGGGTTGTTCCCCAAGCCTTAGCAGACGAAGCTGCCAGTCCAAAGGTTGGACGTTTTGTGCCGCCTGCACCCCGAAGAGGGCCAGCTGCATGTAAGGTTGTCCATGCGGCATGTATGGCTGCTGAGGCACATACGAAGTTGAATGGATTATCTAGGGCCAGAGTGGACGGACAGGTCGCCTGGCTGACCTTCTTGGTTTGATTATGAATACCTCATTGAGATATTCTGAAAGCTGTCTGGGTAACTCGACGTTGAAGCCGACTCAGACATCTGTTGACTCTTCTTCTGTTGGATTAACATCCGGGCATCATAATAAGTCTTCTTTGTGCCATCCGGCTAGACGTGCCGAATGGCCTTCCTCGTCCCTATCTTAGGGAATCGGATCTTTGTAAGATCGATCAAGGGTCTCTTCCCCTCCTTTGATTTAGGATGCGGAGTGGGTTCTCAGTCGACAGACTTGTTCCGCCCAGAATGGGAAGGCTTCTTGGCCAACTGCTCCTTGTTAGAGCCAGCCGACTTTTTATCGATGAGGTCCTTTATCTCCCACTTGAAACTTGTCATGAATCTCATAAGTTCGTCACGGGTGATTGGGGTTGTGCCTTTGGCCGCTTTGGAGTTATCCGGATGGTTAACTTGGACCTGCTTGATCATCGCCCCGTTCCCTTCTTTCTATGGGACAAGTGCGTCTTGTTCTGAGTAAACCGTCGGCAGCCACATATGTTTCGACCTCAAAGTCGTCATCAGTGTCTTGGTCCGTATAGACCTAAGCGTCGGCCTTAGGCCGTTTCTCACTAGGAGACGGTACAAGTTCTAGTGAAGCCATCTTAGAAGTACTCTCCCCACAGACGGCGCCAAATGTTTCGGGGTTTTTTAGTGTCTTGCATGAGAGTTACAATTCCAAGACTAGACTCTAGGCGCCTGTACCTGCAAAACAACGGAGACTTCGGTTGGGTGGAGTTCCGCCTCCGACGATCAAGTTATAACGTGCTCGGATGTAAAAAGTGCGGAATGTAAATGGGATCAGGTTTCTCTTTGGAGAGAAATGATCATCCGGCTATAGCAAACAACCTCAATATCCGAGTGTAAACTCTCAAGTGTAGTTTAATTCTGCAATTAATGCTCTCACTAAATGTTTGTGAATGTCGTTCCCCACGTGGGAACATCTCCCTTTTATAGGTCTCAAAGTACGTGCCTAGTCCTAGGTTACGGAAACCTAGGACTGATTGGGCTGCCTAGGAGTTTGGGCTTTGAAGGCGGTCATTCCTAGTTGGATACCTGTCTGCCACGTGTCGTGCCCTGATTGGTCCACTTTGGACTCTTCACTGAGTAACATGTGGCGGACTCTGGTTGGTCCACGTGGATGACACGTGGAGAGTCTTGATTGGTCCACGTGGCGGGATAAAAATCCCCTAATCAGACACCACCTAATCCCCACTCAAGACCCACTTAATCTCCACCTTCCAAATATAACAATACTTTTTTTTTGTTTATTGTGAAAGTCAATTACTACTTTATTTTACTTAATTATTTTTTGTATACAAAATAGTATAATAGTATATAGCTTTATTTCGATTTTTAATAATTACTATATAGATGTGGTTATACAAAATAGTACTTCCTCCGTTTCTTTATAATTGACACGTTTCTTTAGTCATGTTTGCCAATGCACAATTTCAACCATTAATATCTCTAATTATTGATAAACAAAAATTATGAAAAGTTGATATTTTGAAAATATATATCGTGAGGAATCTAACAAGATCACACATGACTACATTTTTCATTAGGTATAAAGCACTAAAGACGGTCAAAGGGGAGTGAGTGAATAGTGCTAAAGTCAAAACGTGTCAACTAAAAAAAACGGAGGTAGTATAATAGTATGATGTAGAGCAAGACGAGTACAACCTAAAATTTATCCCTGCCCATCACCCATGGCAGGTATGGTTTTTATCCCTATTCTCACCTTACCACTTGCCAAATCCGGACTAATACCCACTTCACTTGACCTGCCCCACTGACATCCCTATAAAAGATTGAGTCACATTGTGTGCACATCAAGGAATCATGATACTAACCCTATGAATTGTTAGATTGATAAAACACATCCTTAGCCACCAATCCTTGAGAAAAATTAGATCTCAGTGGTACAAACTTTTAAAGTTGTCCTGAAATGAACAAAAGTAAATTCTAAATTAAATAAAAGTTGTTCTATTCTAATATAAATAAAAGTTATCGTAATATAAGCAAAGGAACCTATGCTTTATTGGTAAATGTACCATCTTTCAATGAGTAAATAAAATTCGATAACTAAAAGTAACTATATTACCCATATTAAGCTTATCCCACTATCTGTATACAATAAAATCATATTTGATTTGCAATTACCCGAAAAAAGTTTTTTTTTTTTTTAGAAAACCCGAAAAGAGTTAAAAGTTACCCCAAATTGACTAAAAGTTACCCTAATACAGCTTGATGATTATTCTAAACCGAGTGTACACAAAAATTTTTGCACTTTATTGTAAAACGGCAACAATTGGAGTCTTAAATTGCCAAAGGATCAAATGTATAATCAACTCTTGTTCAAGACTCGTGCTTAGCAACATTCTAATTAGGGTTATTTCCGCACATTGATTATATCATCACAAACCCCAGCAACAATATATCCTTAGATTCCTTACCTCACTATGCCCACACCACCACCATGAATTCTTCCCAAATCCACCATCCCATCTAAAGTTCTACCCAGATCATAGTTAACTTCCCCACTCTCCTCCGGAAAGTCCGTTAGAAAATCTGATACAACCGCTCCCTTGATCGACTTTTGAGGGATGAGCTTAAGGTCGAATTCTGCGAGCATGACCATCGATACCACAAAAATCCCTTCTCATTTCTCATTGCATTCAAAGCTAATTTGAGAGAGATAAACAACGGAACAACATTAACATATAAGATTGATATTAGCCCAAGTCAATTTTTACATAATTATATTGAACATATTTTATATAAGGCTATTTGTTAATACACAGTTTATAAGATTAAAGTATTTCTTGCATGGCTTGATTCATTGTTTAAACAATCAAACGTTGCTATATGGATTGAAGTTCAAACCGAACTCCGAATATAACATTCAAATCAAGCTCGAGCTATAAGCTTATACTAGATGAAGAGTTGAGCCGTATTAGAGTTAGCTCTGGTATGCTCTTGACTGACCTCACAGTCTAGACTTGTAGTTCAGTCAGCTCTGGTATGCTCTTGACTGACCTCACAGTCTAGACTTGTAGTTCAGTCAGCTCTGGTATGAGGTAAGTTGTGAGAGGAAATCCAGTCTAAGGCTCTAAGCAACTCCGAATCTAATTATAGCAGTCCAACTAGGTTATCCTCGTGCGATGAATGGTTAGAATTAATAATTGAAATAGTCAAAAGAAAATGATTTAAAGATGCATATTAATGATATCTAAAAAAAAAAAAAAATGTACCGTATACAATTAGCTTCAACGTTATCAAAATTACTATTTTAGCTTCCAACAATTAACACATTATAAAATACTCCATAGAAGCATCTATTTGACTTTATAATTCATAAAATAATTTTCAAAGCAATAAAAATAGAATAGCTCAACTTAAAAAAAAATGAATAAATGAATCAAAATGATGTCGTTTAACACAAATTCTTATACGTGACTGGCCACACGGTGTGACCAGCCAACATGGGGGCTACTTCGTTAGTGTTATCAGGGTTACTTCGTTAATGTTATAAGGGTTACTTTGTTATTATTGCAGGATTTACTTCGTTAATATTTTAGGGGTTACTCGGTTAGTATTACATGGGTTACTCGGTCAATTTTATAGTGGTTAATTTGTTCTGTTAACTAGCGGTTATATAGTGTGGCCAGCCGCACATAAGACGAGTTGTATCACTAGAGCATTTAGGCGGGAAATATTTTTATGATTAAATCACATGTTAACAACTTCGGAGAAATATAATACCGGCATGTTTTGTTTTAGAATTATGCGAAAAATAATGTCAAATGGGCTCCTAATGCTTCAAACGCTGGAAAAACTCTGCCATCTAGTGTGCACAATAAACCTCTTTAGCTTCCACCAATAGCAACCCCTAAGACTTTAATTTCCTAAGCTAGGGCCGGCATCCACATAAATTCTTACGGAATTCGAACGATAATGAAGGTTGTATATATCATAAAATTTACATGGGAACATAAGTGCCTTTACTGGTACCCAAGTTATTAGGCTTGACTGCTTGAGGGGAGTAACTTTCAGAGCATCAGCAAGGGAGAAATGAGAGCTTGACCGGGACAAATAGATCCGTCGTTTTTTTAAGGGAAAAAAGAAAAACTGAATCTTTAGTGTACTGCTAGTGGTACAGTGGTACCCAAGTTATCAGGAATTTCAGAGCATCGCCAAGGGAGACAAAAGTGGGGTTAAGGAGAAAATTATCAAAATCAGAATACTCAGGCTCAAGGTTATCCCTATTTTCGGTTGCACCAGAACCTCAAAATTTTTCCTTTTGCTAAACCTAACTCAGGTGACAGATGACAAAAGTACAATATTGTTGTGAGCAGGAATAATCAAAGAACCACATATAAATGGGTTAGACAATGAAACATTAAAGTTGAGACTCCTGAAAAAACTTCAATTGAAGCAGAGCAGGGTCCTATATGTTTGAACCTCATGGCAGGATGACAATTGTTAAAGGAACAAGAGACATCAAAGAGAAATCAAAGTTGTTCACCATCCCTTCAACAAGGTGGTCTTTTCCTGATTGCATTAACTACATGTTGGCCGCAATCCACGAATCGTGGATTTGGATGAGATGTAACTCAATTTGATGCTGGTCGAGGGAGCCTTGGCCTCACTGGTGTCTTTGAAGGACTCACCCTACAAATTTCACAAGATTTAGACATGCCCATTAGCACTTTCAAACCATACAAATATCGTTTTCTAATAAATATACGAAGTACACAAGAAGTAACATATTCACAGCAAATGGAGCATTACTTTTGGGGCAAAACACTACCTGATGGGTTGAGTTCCTAAAATCATCCCACTACAGTTCAAGGCCATGATAGCACTTTCAGCCTGCAGGAGAGATACAGAAGGTGTTATATAATGGAAGCACCATGAAGAAGGGGGGCAATATTAATATCGTACAAAATAGAGCTTTCCATTGTGAAACAAGAATAAATTGGGGAATAGATAAGTTAGGTAAGCATATGATTGTCACTAGCTCGCCACCAGATAAAAAATATATCAAGCTTATTAATTTACTATTAGAACATGATATTGTTGAAACTTGAGGGAGCTTAATTTCCCAAATCACTACACTTTACACACCAAAAATACATGATTATATAGCAAAACAATTAGAGCATATATCATCCCCATGCTTTAGTGATGCCATTTAATATAAGAAGTAAATAATAATTCAATTAAATATGACCATAAAATTAAATTTCACTTGTAGGACTAAAAAGCTGATAGAAAAAATAAATAAATAAAAAACCTAAACATAATGAGGGTATTATATATCAAAAAAAAAAAAAAAAAAATTGTTTTCCATAAAATCATCCTTTAATTAAAAGGGTAACAGACACAAACCTTATTCCTTATCATAAGAGGGAAGGTAGAATTGACACTGCATTGAAGGGGAAAAAGGTCTGCTTGCTATTGGCAATTGGTTTTTAGTTGATTGACTTGGCTTTACAAGTATTAATTACTTTACTTTGGTCAGTTGTAGCACCAATTATTTAAAAAATTGTTTGGACAAAGCAGGTGTTGGTAGAGAAGTCAATCTAATAAGAGTTTGGTCTATATCTGACTGATCAGAAGATATAATCCGACCCAGATCCAAAAACAGAATCTGAGTCCAATTCAAAAGTTCAATAATAATTTTTTTTTGGTTAGGATTGGACCCTATGTAGAGTAAATTCAATGAAGAATGCGGCACAAGTGCTCGTATATCCTAGTCAAAGTAATAGGATTCCACAATCATAACTAATGAATATTATGTCAATTAACTTCAATGGAGAACAGTATCTAAATTTTGTTCTTTGCTTGGTTTGTCCAAATAGGGCAAAATTAGCTCTCCTCAATCCTTGCCCGTTGAAGGTAAGATGGTGAGGCAATCGACCCAGCAAGAGTTAAAGATCACAATGAGCAATCACGTCTGATATGTTTCCACTTCGTATTTTTTATTATATTAGTCAAGTATTTGGACTTGAAAGTTGAGTGTATAAATTTACTCAGTTGATCATGCTTTGCTAGATTTCATACCCAACTATTTCCAGTTAATTTCATGCCCAATTTGAGGGAGCTTTTAGACTAAGGAAGTGGGGAGTTGCTAATGCAACAAGGATGACAATGGCATTAGAGTAGACCGTAACTCAGAGGCAATCAAGTCTACTAATAATCAGATTCATATTTAGGTGTATGTTCCCCCCTTAAATAAATAAAATAAATAAATAAATAAATAGATAAAAAGTCAAAAATAAATAAGTAGATAAAAACAATAAAGGCCGAAAAAAATAATTCAAATAATTGATATTTTGGTTAGAATCAGATCAGTCCAAAAAGAGTCATACCAAGCCAGACCAGAAATCATTAAGACCAGATCACCTTGTTATAAGTGAAGAGAACATAGCTAATTAAGGCCAGATTTAGATCAAACTAAGTAGTCTCACACTCTTACCCATTATTCATTAGTACACAAATGGCAAGCTCTTTTAGCAAAATTTTCATTTATATTAATGAAAAAGGCAAAAGCCAAAACGAATTAAACTGCAAAAAGACAGCTATATAACTAATGGAGGGAAAATAAAGATTTTTTCATTCTTTACAAAAGAAAATAAACTTGCTTCACAAGGAAAAAGGCTAAAGCTCTTTTCCCGACCTACTATATATATTTTGCCAATTATTAGAAAAGAGAGCAAGATATTTTGATCCAATCGGATACAGCCTAAGAACTTTGGTTCCACAATACTAAGAAGCTCAAGCAGAGCTAGCATTTCGTCAATGGTAAGGAACAAAATTTATTTGCCAACTAACAGAATGTGAAAAAAAAAATTATATATATAACCTCTGTTTCTGAAAGTTCAACTCACTTACTATTCATGTGATCAAAATAAAATAATTTTGACCACATTTTATGAGCTATACAATATAAATAAATTAGCATGTGAGATCACATTAGATTCCCCTTATTATAAATAATCCAAATATCAACTTTTTACAAATTTCACTTATACACAACTAGAGTTATTCATGGTCAAAGATGTTCATTGGAGACCGCGCAATTGCAAAGTGAGTCAGGAGGGAGTATATATATATATAGCAACGGGCAACTCTTATATGAATCAGTATGTCCAAACCCCAAATGCAATCAATCTCTCCAGCATTAACTAATTTCTGTCACACTAGCAAATTTAACACTCAGATCAACTATTATAATCAGAATCACAAAAAGATTTAACCATTAACACCATTTTAAAAAAAGGTAGTAATTTAATTATTTATATTCACAGCTAACACTTGCTACCTTTAATTATCCATTAAAAAAAGGTAGTAATTTAATTTATTCTTAAAAGGTAGTAATCAAGTCCACTTCTACCTTTAATTTCAAAAGTTAATAATTTTAGCTACCTCTACCTCTACCACTAAACACTACCCCCTACCACTATATAGCCAAACACACAATATTTTTTTTTTTTTTTTTTTTTTTTTATAAATAGCAAGTCAAACAACTAAAATTTGCCTAAACGCTACTCAAAAGCTATTGTAGAACATGCCCTTTGACCATCTTCTGTGATTTATAGGCAAGGAAAGACATGTTGAAGTTGGCATTGGCAAACATGAAAAAGAATCATGTTAGCTAAAAAAAATGTGAGGGCCAAGTATATCTATGTAATGGTATTATTCTTGCATTAACACCAAAAGATAATGCTCACACAAGCTTTGAAGTATGTAAGCCTATCATGGAAAACGTAGGTGTCTACTATCAGCAGAACCATGCTCAAATTCAACTACTAAGGAAACCAACATTGACATATAAACATTTAATTAAGGATAAAACAAAAAACTGAAAACAGGTTCCACAACAATTGCAGGCCTCCAGTAAAGTGTGACTTACAATATCGAATTCAACAAAAGCAATACGAGTTGAATGCACATTGTCCCCCAAAAGCCTCAAACGGGAAACCTGTGAAGAAAAAATCATCACTGTAAGTATATATTATTGAAGCTTTACTGTATTTGAATAAAACTGAGTTTAGTATATATGGGCATACCTCACCACAAGCACTTTCAAAGAAATTCTTAACATCCAACTGAGAAACCTGAAACAACACAAGATTAAAAAAATAAAAATAAATAAATAAACCATAAAAAAATAAAATAAAATAAAATAAATAAATAAATAAATAAAAAAAAAACATAAAAAATAAAAATAAAAAAATTGTCAAGAAGTACAACATCCCAAGGTTCATCATTAATTGATACACAAACAAGAACTTGATAGAAACATGCAGTGTGAAAACAATCATTTAATTAGGACTTGTTATACCTTTTTATCAATATTTGTACAGTAGACAGTTCTTGCACACATTTCTCTCTCATCTTCAGACTGTTGTAAATCATTGAAATATAGAATACATTTTATTAGTGTGAGTTATGAGGACAATACCGTTAATGTAGAAAGATATAACCAAGTACCCATACCCTGGGAAGAAATGTAGGATTCACAGGGAGTATAGCAGTTTTTGAAGGCAAAACCCTGACTGGATAGTAACCCAGCATTGTTCCACCTAGGCTTAGAGCAGCTCTAGCACCATCTGGTTACCAAAATTCAAACAATGTGAGCATGAGCTCAAGGAAACAGAAAACGGAAATCAAAGGACAGTCAAGTTCACAACTTACGCTCATCAGCAAATTCTACAAAAGCAAAACGAAGAACTGAATGAGGGTCACCACAAATCCGGCAGTCAACAACCTGCAAATCACCACAAATATATGCCAAATTGTCAGACAAATTTGGACTTTTCATTTAAGCATATAAATCATGTACACCAATCGCTTCAACTACAATTAAATTATAAATCATACACAATTTGTCCCAAAACAAGTCAGAAACACGCTGTCGATAAAGTCCCATAAACAACTGGGAATTTATGACTAGCTTGCATTTAAATCCCATTACAAAAAAAAAAAAAAAAAAAAAAAAAAAAATTCAAAAAAAATCATATAATACAAAGTAAAAACAAAAAGAAATAAGTGTCCTTTAGTTTGTTCACAGAGTTAAGAGAAGTTTTAGAAGGCAAGAAAGTTTATAAACACAGCTGATGTAATTCACTATATACCAAACACATTACAGGGCATAAAGCAAAAATAGGTGATCATGGCTCGGATGGGGCCGGACCAAAGGAAAATATGCCCACTATGTCAGGACAGGCCAAAGTACGGCCGAAATTGTTGCCCAAAACCCGTAAAATTGGGGTGGGCTTTTCAGGCAGGCTGTAAAAATAACTAAATATCTTAAGACACCTTGTCCATGGCCCGCCCAAAAAGAAAAAAAAGAAAAAAAAAATCAGGCCAGGCCGGATTTTTATGTCCAAAGCCATTGGGCTGGACCGGGCCAACAGGCCAGGCCCATCTTGATCACCTCTAACCAAAATGATAAAAAATTCCCACATCATACACTTAAACAGAGAGCTAAGATCTGGGTCGAGAATAATCTTCATTTATTCCTCAAATAGCTTCAACAGCCTCTATTATTTATCAAATCAAGACATAGAAGAATGAATGGAGCATGTTATTTGTGATGTCACCCACCATTTCTTTTACTACTCCAATTACCAAATTTGACATAGAAACTTTACAAGTATATAAGATCATCCGGAAATAGAGATGTTTGGGAAATAATGAGGACTAAGATAGTAATATCCTTTTGAGAGTTTGAGACCAGGTCAAACCTTAGATCTCTCATTTAATCAGATATGTTGTTCACCACTACAATAGCACTATCACAGACTGCATTACCAGATATCATGTAATTTCACTTAATGTTAATTGCTAATAAATGTCCTATAGCTTTTCTTCTTAGAAAAATGAGCAAGAACCCCAACAGCATGACTAACAAAACTTACAGTGACGATTATCTATGAGGTGACAATTGTACACTTGTACATAATTCTCTAAATAATATAGAAGGAAAACCTCATTTCTATGATGTAAAGAGACAAATGAGACCTATATTAGAACACCATGTTCAACCTACCCAAGACCCAACAAGCAGCCAAACAAAAGAAAGGAAACCAGAAGCTCCAAAGCAGATAAGTATTAAATTTAGGAAAACCTGCCAGGTATCAACTTTTATGAAGGGTTATTTTGTGAGAAAAAAACCTTTTATTATTTAATTGTATCAGGGAAACTAGTTTTTATGATGGTTTTGGTAGAAAAATCATACCTTACACCGGATTTAGGTGACAAAAGTAAACAATCCGGCATTGACCGTCACCAGTATGGTTTTTAGCCTTCGTCTGTTGCCTTTTTCTTCCCTTTCTCCTCTTTTCCATCATTTCCCTCCCTTCACCTTACTCCCATCAATCCTTTTGCTTCACTTCTAACCCCCTTTCCTTTGATCTAGTTTTTGTCATCCTCAACCTCATTAACTTCTAGTTTTATTCAATTAAGAAATAGTCAGAGTTCCATCAAACAAAAGAGTAGCAATTGAAATAAGGTTAATAATGTGTTTCTTTCTTTACATGAAAGGTTTTGAACAAAAAGTTTACAAGAAAGCTTTCAAACAAAGGAATTGTATGAAACTCTTTGCAACAATCAAAACAACCAAAATTTTTTTTTTACAAAAGTCTCCTAAATTCAAATATCCTCCCTATCTCCCTCAAGGCTAATTACCTCAATAGTCCCTCACAAATAAGAGAAAATTGCCTAATCCCAAAATACAAAGGTGGAAATTCTTGCACCCCTATTTAAGAGTGTAAATATAGGAAAGGCATAGCAAAAGCCATGACAACTGTCCAAGGTAACCGAGAATCATTGGGAAGTGATTTCAACCAACTTAGTCTTTGTCTCATCCATAAATTGGAATAATTTCTCCCTTTCCAAGTATCTATGAATCAAAAAGAGAAGAGAAAGAAGCATAGTATTGTTGAAAATATAGAATAGAGATATTAAAAAAATAAAATAAAAAAATAAAATAAAAAAATAAGAAAAAAAGGTAGTGAATCCTTGATTGATTGAGCAAAATTGACATAACTTTGGTTTATCGCAAGAGAGTTAAAAGATACAGAGAACAAAAACAGATGCTATGTATTTATTTTGCAAAGTCTGTGAGTACATTATTGAGGGCAAAGAGTACTAGCCTAATAGGTGAATAATTGTAGCTCTTTGCTCTTAACCAATATTAAGACCAAAGGAACAGTGGTACATCAACTTCATCCTCAGTAAGAGGAGAAAAGTAAATCATATTATTATAAGGAAGATAAGCTACAGATCTCAATTATACAACTAGGGGATACAAAAAAGACGACACTAAGAATAAATTAGTCCCTTGGTATAACAATTCGAGTTTTGCATTATTTACATGTCTCACTTTTCATATATTTCAATGTATAATTCTAGCATATCAAATTTCCATAATTTTTGCTAATAAAAAAATTAGAGATTTTAAGTATCAAAGATGCATTTGCATTAACCTTTATTAAAATATATAGAGCTAGTGCAATAGCCTTTAGCCAATCAATAGCATTAAAAATTTGATATTTTAAAACACATATCATTAATACATCTTATTTTTACCTTTATCTCCTTGTCAAAAAATAAATATAAAAATATTTTTTAAAAAAAAAAGATACCTTCATCTTATAGATTATAATAAATAAATCAATAAGTAGCTTTGAGTCTTTGAGGGAAAAAATATTGTTGAATTATATAATTCAATCATGTACAAATCATGGCTATAGATTTAATTATTTTATTTGATAATTAAGTATGAAATATGACAATTTAACATATCATTAAATTTATTTCCATATTATTTCGAATTAGCAAAGTTTCCAGGAAAGCATCATGGTTTTTTCATGATGGAATCATAAAATTTAAAATATGGTTTAATATATTTAATTATTTTATCTTATTCGTATGATAACATCCAAGCATGATATGATATGATTAATTATTTAATTTGATTGAATTATAAATTGGAAAAATTGACATGAACAATCCGAATTGCCTCATTCGCTCAAAATAATCCCAATTTTGGATTTTTATTTAATAATCCGAACTTTAATGTGAATTTTCTTCTAATGGTCCCAAGTGACCTGTAACCGGTTGAATAGGTAATTTTTTTTTTTAAAAAAAAAAAAAAAAAATTACACGTGTCACCACGTAATTGGTCAAAAATACTAATTAACACTTTAAAAAAATTATAGTTAATAATTAACACTTAATTGAGTAAATATAACTAACTATTTAAAAATAATTATAAGAAAAACCCACCACCACCCACACTCCCTACCCCCACACGCCCAGCCCCCCCCCCCAACCGCGCCAAGACACCCCCCCTTGCGCCGGCATCCGCCAAGAACTCCCACTGCGTCGCCCCTAAACCACCATAACCCCACCACGAAACCCCTCTCCCTCCCCCGAAAAATCCCTAACAAACCACCTTCGAAACCCTAGCGCTAGGAGAGAGAAAATCATCATCAATAACAGCAACAACTCGAAGCTTTAACAATGGCGGCACCCGATGTTGAAGCGGTCAACTTCGAACCAGAGGAAGACGATCTCATGGACGAAGATGGTGGCGCCGGTGACGTCGACCTGGTCCCGCTCGTTGTTAATTTGTTTATTAAGGTGGTGGTTTAGGGGGCAACGCAAAGGGTAGGGGGAGAAGAAGCGCCGGCGAGGGCGAGGGCGAGGGAGAGGGGATGGGTCTGGGCGCGGCGGGAGGCGGGACTGGTGCTGGAGAATTGGGCGGGGCTTGGCAGGGAAGTGGGCTGGTGGGGAAGGTGGTGGTGGGAATTATTTTTTTTTTAATTTAATGTATTTTATTTTTTTTAATTTTTATTTTTTTGGCCAATTACACGCTTGTCAGACAATTTGTCGTAACAAGTTAAATAACCGGTTGGGACCATTAGAAGAAAATTTACATCAAACTTCGGATTATTAAAAAATAATCCAAAGTTGGGATTATTTTGGGCGAATGAGGCAAAGTTCGGATTATTTCTGTCAATTTTTCCTTATAAATTTTAGCATATCATTAAAAACATATCACTGATTTTAATTTTGAAAATAAATAATTTCGAATCAACAAAGTTTTCAAAAAAGAAAATAAAATATTCCTCCCTCCGCCTGCAAAAGTGACTCACTAGCTGTAAACTCTTGTTACTTAATTTAAAAATAAATAAATAAAAAGTGACGAAATTGTGAGTGGGTGTAACAAAAAGATATTAAAATGGAATAACGTAAAAGTGAGTCGAACTTTTAAAAACAACCTACAATGGAAAGTAAATCGAACATTAGTAAAAAGAAGGGAATACATTGAATTGATCCGGATATGAGAACAAATTGGGTTGAGAATGGTCAACATGCATGAAGCCAAAAATGGTCCACACATAAAGACAAGTATCCAAGAAACAAATCTATGCACAAAAGGTATTTAAATGTAAGAGTTATTCCGAAGGATTTTTTAAAATACAAATGATATTACTATTTTTCTTCTTACTTTATTTCTACCTAAATCTTGAACACCACCTTTCCTTAGCCTTCACAAAAGCATTTCCTTAATTCTATGATTATTTGTTCTAGTGAAACTACAAGTTCGTATCAGAGAATATTAAAAATGGCTAACCTCTCAATAAAATTTGGCAACAAATTCTATAGTTTCTTACCAAAAACAACAGCATGTAAAATGCAGATAGTTTAAAATGTTGTTTATAGTATTTATATTCAATTTTTATTTTAGGTTACACTTTCGGCATATTAGCATGTTAAACACACTCTTGTAATGATTAAAGAAATTTTCCAAACTCTTTGTTTTATTTCACAAACAAACTAATAAATTCCCTTATTTCATTAAATCCACCCAATATATTAACAAAAAATATCAAGAGACATGCACTCAAAATTTTAAGGACTTAATTTCCATACAAGAGAGATTTCATGCCACAAGATACCAAAATTCAAGCATGTTTTAGCGGCTTACTTGGTTTTATATACAAGACAAATAATTCTAGCTTTTCTAGGTAATGCCTTTATTTTACTAATTTACAACTATAAAACTTGATTGTTTGTAATATATGTACATCTAAGATCTTTTCTTCCAATAATTTTTAAAGAGAGTAAACCCTAAAAAATGAAAATCATATCACAGTTTCCACTATCACCATTATCACCCACCACAAAGCTACTTACACCCAACACCATTAAACACCTATTTAAGCATGCAAAAACTATCACCAAAGCCACATATGGCAATTGGCAGGTGGCCTTCACTATTGGAGTTTTACTTTAGATAAACACAATCATAAAAACCATATAACCAAAGTTATCAACATTAACCTTCATTATATTCAAACTACTAGTCTTCACTAGACTTTTTTTAAACTAAATTTCCCTATTGCAAAACTTATTTGCAAGTGTGAAACACTATGGATGTGGGTATGAGATATGGTAATGTAATATATATTCTCATACAAACAGCTTTTTAGGTAGTAGTATATATTAGGGATGTTTATTTTCCAAAATTTATCCAAATTAAGCATATGCTAATTAAATAGTCAATAGGTTATGACCTCTAAATCAATCTTATGAAGTAGATTAAATTTATGTTGTAAAGATTAGATTTATGCCATACTATATGTGAGTGCATAACTTTTCGTTCATAACATCCCAATAACACATAGTGTTATATGCCAAATTCTTTAGCCTCGACTTGATCTTTAAGATGTTGTGACTTATGGTTTTTTATTTATTTTTTAGTTACTTAATAAAGATGAACATGACTATTGCTATGTTTAGTCTTTGACAAGAGAAATTCATCTTCAACAATTGTTGATTCGTTGTGAGGCTTTTTGGGTGTTTTATTTTAATAATGTTCAGTTTTAAGATATTAAAGAACAAGAAGAAGAAAGGGAGAAAATGGGGTTTTTTAAATTAGTTGGATAATGTAAAGATGGAGAGATTTAAAGAGGAGAATTGACTAAATGAATGTGGTAACGGAGATTCAAGGAAGTAAGAGAAATCATGAAGAACAAAGGAGAAATGGAAGAAGATAAGTCACACTAACGGATTTATGGATGGAATCCATGTGGTGGCAAAATCCATTTTTTTTTTATTTTTTTGGTAAAATAAAACTTTTTTTTCTTATGAATATTCATGTTAACCGAGCCTAAATCATTTTAGGAATAAAGCATTGTTGGTGTTGGTAAAATAAATACAAATTGATGTAAGGTGGTAAAAATTAAAAAAGGGAAAAAAAAAAAAAAAAAAAAAAAAAAAAAAAAAAAACCCTTAAATAAGTAGATTAATAATTTTATTGTTATATAATAACAACAACATAAATACGGGGTAATATTTTACAATTAATTTGTTATTTTTTTTCTTCATGACAACATTTGGTATATAATTGGCATAGAACAAACAATGAAATTACTTAAATCACTAAAATTATATTTATACCATAACTTATACTTTTACTAAATTTGTTTATGATCATCTCTAAAATAATGCTCCTTCATATTTACAAAAAATAATTACATTCAAGCATTAGGAAAAATCAATCTAATTTAAAAGCATATTTTGAGCTTTTTAAATGGTATTAAAATTACCAGTATTATTTTTCAAATTGTGCAACGAAAGCTATATTTAATTCGAAATATGCACACGTATGAACAAACACACACACTTTACTGTTGTATGAACTCTGGCAGCCCTCTTTTTATGCAAGAGATAGATTTTTTTTTTTTTTTTTTTTTTTTTTTTTGACATATAGATGAATGATCAGCGACATTGAATACAGAACAATTTAGGAGTACACTTTAGTGTACCATACAAAAGCACATGCCATAGAAAGTGCAAATGTTCTAATGATTCCCACAAAATAAACTTCACTTTTAACAACGATATCACATTAAAGTATACTAGATGAACAACTGAGCACCAACTTTAAAGTATTCATCAGGGCAGTGTTTGGAAACAATGGGTTCATTCGAAACAGAACTCATCTTTATTTCCAATGCCAAATCTCTTGTTTGAGAAAAGGTAATGATCTGAATTCTGAAATTTCAAATATCACCATGTTGTTTGGGAAGTGATGTTTTAACTATGGAATTGATGATTTGATACATCCAAAAAAATACAGTTCAATGTTGAAACTTTGAAAATTGCAATGACTTGCATCATTTCCCCATAACAAAATTGAAAAGGAAAAAAAAAAAAAAAAAAAAAAAAAAAACAAGAAGAAGAAGAAGACTTTTATAGTGTAGCAAAGATGAGAGGAGATTGTCCTTGGTGATATTGTAGACTAATTTTAGAGAGATGAGGGAATGATATACTAGTGAGACAAAAGGAGAGAGAAAAGATAAAGGAAAAGGAGAAGTCCAATGGTTGTAAATTGCTACAGAGAAATCTAGCAGCCATTAAATTGTGAGAGAGAAAGAGATACGATAGAGTGAGTTTTTTAAAAAAAAGGAGAATGAGCGAATTTAGGAAAGAAGACAAAGAAATCTATTGAAGTGCATCACATACTACGTGATTCAAGAGGAGAGAAAAATAGAAGGGAATGAAGAATATGTGGTTTGGCGGGAGAATTTGAGATGAAAGCAAACAATATGCATTTGGATATACACATTCATAGGTCTCTAACACTATATAAGAATTTAGGACAACAAAATCCTACGTTCCCAATCACCTCATTTCACTCGATCCATATCCACACACAACATAAATGTTTGGAGATAAAAAGAAGACAGAAAGAAAAGACACAAGAATAAGCCAATACTGAGCAGGCATAGAAATTACCTGTCCACAACTACTAAACAAGGCAGCTAATCGCTCTTCAGTGACCTAATTAGAGATTGTGTAAAAGAGTTCCATCAGCACAACTTCTCCGAATTGTCCAGTAAATAGCATTTCATAAATCGAAAGAGTCTATTATTCAACTTCCTTACATGCTGGTCAATGTCAGATACATATACTGTGCGCCTAATGCTTTCTTCTCTCTGAGCCCGGAAAGATCTTCCATTCATCCGTCTCCTCCCTTGGTTAAAGGTATTCCTCCTCTGGAATAGATTGTATAATAAATAAAACTAAAAGAACGAAATAGAATACAGAAAAAAAAATGATGCAAACCTCTTCTGTGATCCCTAATTTAGTCAAAATACAACACCACCAATCATTCTTTTACCTTTATTGATCCAAAGGGAATAATTATTTAATTAATTCAAATACTGATTCCATTGCTTCTTAATACTATATACACACAATTCCATTTCAACAACTCCAAAATGTAATCTATAATTTGATAATGACCAGCTCATGCACAAATGACCAAGTTGAAAATTCACATATAAGCCCATAAAGTTTGCATGAACATTTACAGTGCAATCAAAGCGGGCAAGGGGCTGCACTTGTGTAAGACATAAAGCTACTATGGCTACTCGTTTTCACAGCACACGATCCACCAAGACGAAAGAGACTGATGATTCCTAACAATATTTACCATGATCACAGAATAAACAGCAATTTAAACCCCACAACAATGCTAAGAGTAATATAGACTCATTAACACAAAGCAAAATGCAGAAAAATCATCCAAAAATTCATTTCTAGTTCTAAAACACCACAATTTCATACATTACAAGAAAAAAAATTAAAGGCATCCAAAAATTGTAAATAAATACAAGAACACAAAAACCCGAATTTTAAGGCAAATTTACCCATTTTATATGAAAATTACCAAAATCAATAACTAAACAATAATCCAAATGCAAAAACAACAGCAGTATTATAAAACATAAAATCGAAAAATAGATAAAAGACAAATACCCTCCGATTATTAGGAAAATTATCATTGCTCGAAACCTTTGAAAAATTGTTCTGAACAGACTGATCATTCTTGAGACGAAAAGAAGAGGGGATAAATTCCTTAGCCCAAGGATTCAACTTGGATAAAATATCAGCAAGCTCGTTAATATTCTTCTGGAATTCGGATTTTGAATCAGAACTCTTATTAGTGTCAGTCTCAGAGTTCTGGGTAGGTGAGTTGCAATTTTTAGTGAACTGATCATCAGAATTCACAACATTTTGTGCAACAGCAGCCATTATAATCGTCAAATAAAAAATTCCCAGAAAAATTAGATGAAAATTTTGAAAAGGGTATTGAAGAAATTACAAATTGAACAAGTAAATTACCCAAAAAAAATTAAAATTATGTTAGAAATAGAGGAGGTTAGATTCTTTTTTTCCTCTTTTATTCTTAGGTGAAAAATCTAGGGTGTTAGATTACACAGAAAAAGAGACAGAGACCCATTTTCAGAAGAAGAAGAAGATGATGATGATCAGGAAAAAAGGAATTTAAGAGAGAAAAAGGAGGGGGGAGTGAAGAAAAGATTCTAGGGTTTTTGAGGAAAAATAATAAAAATGGATTAAAAAAAAAAGGGTTTTAATTGAATTTTAACGATTTTTGTGGAAATTAAAAAAAAAAAGTTTATGTAAATGTGTAATGTGTTGATTTTGGTTGCTGGTAAATGGCGATGTTGGTGGGGGCTGTTAGTGAAGAAGAAGAAACATGTGGCTTTGAGAGTTGGCCACAGTCTATAGACTGAGGAAGAAAGAGTTGGTAGGGTGTCAGGTTGCTGCTACTATATAATGCTAACACTAGTTTTAAGTCCCGTCCACTAGATGTTATTAAATTTTATAAAGAGTTAATATATTAAATTGGAAAATTATTAATAATACCCTCCAGGTTTTGGCTTTTATCAATGATACACATCATTAAACTTTCATTATCACCGGTATCCTAAACTTTTCCCTAATTTACTACAGTAAGCTTAACGTTAAGTAAACGTTAATTATACTTTGTCTTCAGCGTTTTAAAGGTTAGAAGGCTAAAAATACTACATTGCCCCTCTCATTTCATTTCCCTACAAATTTCCCTTCCAATTTTCCCTCCTTTTTTGTGAAATTTCCCCTACTTATACACCTTCCCTTCCTGTTTGCACTTCTTCTTTCCATTCACGCTCTTCTTTTCTTTTGATTCCATTTATTTATCTGTGGAAAATCCATGGCTTCATCTACCAGGGGTTCATCTGGCAGGGCTTCATCTTCAACTAGTAGATATGGAAGAGTTGATTGGTTTAAAGTCATGAATTGCAACTGCCAATGACCAATATGGTCAAAGTTCTAATGATTGTGATGCTCCAAGTAGTCAAGGTGAGGTCCAAGTTCAAAGCAATGCAAAGGAGTTGTTTCTATCCAAATCATTCCTTACTCTTTTGCACGGTTTTGGTCCGAAACATTTTACAAGTGGTTACACTTCACTTAGTGTAATTAACCTTGTAGAAAGTATCTAGCAAGTGCAACGGTTACAAGCTGATTGAAGAGCTCCAAGTGCAACGGTTACAAGCTGATTGAAGAGGAGTGATTCATGGCACTTGTTGGGCGTGAATTGTGGAGTTTGTTGGCTGAGCATTGCACCTCATTATTTGGGGGTTATGAAGAATAAAGAGGCGTGAATCAAGGCATTAAAATGGGGGTTACACAAGCTTGCAAACGGCTGTTTTGGACGTGTGTTGAAGATGCTCTTTGGATGCTGTTTGGCTGATCATCTTCCCTTGTTTCAAGCCTAGTCTTTAGCTCTTTTAATTAAGTTTAATCTTGTTTGTAAAAGGGGTTAAGTGGGACGTGTATTCTCCACTCATTCCCTTAGTTAATTTACTTTTGTCTATTTTATTTTGTTAATTAAAGTAGGCAAGTGAAAAGGTTGTATTGATGCTATAAATAGCACACTTTGAATGAATGAAAACAATCCAAGATTATTTGCCTAAAACGTGTGTTTTGTTAATTGAAGTGACTTGAGTTTAGTTCACTTTGTTTTCCAAATTTGAGTATCCGAATTTGAAGAGTGTTAGTTTTGGTGAGAGTTCCCAAGATTAGGACTTATAGTTTATGATTTGGTGAGAGTTCCCTCATCTAAACTATCCCAAGCAAACGAGTGAGAGTTCCTCTTTGCTATATCCTTAGCTTAGGGTGAGAGTTCCCCTAACTAAACTGATCACTTGATAATTGAACCTTAAAATCCTTTGAATCTTTTAACTTATCATTTCTTGTAACAAGGTTTCTCATCTTGTTTACACATCATTTGGCGCGTCAGGTAGGGGGAAATTTTCTTAAATTTTCCAAAGGGGGTCGAATACCTACATACCATGGGAGAAAATCAAGACTTGAGGACAGCTTTGGAAGCTCTTAATCGATCCATTGCTAGTCAGGAAAGGTTGGCCGAAACCAATGCCAATCTCCAAGGGAACCTTGCTGCCTTGATGGCAAGGCTCATGAACGAGCAAGATAGGAGAGATCAAGGTGAAGACCCTCCACCTAGGAGGGAGGATAGGAGTCTCAAAGTGGACGTTCCTTCTTTTGATGGGACACTTGATCCAGAGAAGTACTTGGAATGGGAGAAATCCTTGGAAAGGTACTTTGAATACAAGGACATTCATGAGGATGTTCAACGTTTTAAGATTGCCAAAGTCAAGTTGAAAGGCTATGGTGATAGTTGGTTGCAAGGAGAACAAAGAGGGCGTACCCTTAGGGGTAAGGCTCACATTTCCACTTGGGAAAAGCTGAAGAAAAGAATGAGGGATCGTTTCATTCCTCACAATTACAAGCAAAATCAGTATGTGAAATGGAGTACTCTCCAACAAAATGGTGATTCGGTGGAAGACTATATCAAAGAATTTGATAGGCTTGCCATTGTATGTGAAGTGACTGAAAATGAAGAGCTGAAGTTGGGGCGTTTTGTAGCTGGGTTGGAACAAGAGTTACAAGACAAACTTGATGGTTACACTAACCTCACGTTTGTGGAAGCTTGCAAACTTGTGACAAAGTTTGATGCTAAAAGGAAAAGGAAGAAAACGCCTACTACTACTCCAGTGGTACGCAAACCACCCTTCAACTCAAAGGAGGGTTCTTCTTTCAGCAAGCCTAATGAGCCACCAAAGAAGAACACGAAAGACTTCAAGCTTAGTGACATTGTATGTTACAAGTGTGGAGGTAGAGGACATTATAAAAAAGATTGTCCTAATTCAAGAGCCTTAACCATGCAAGAGGTTAAACTCATAGCCACCCAAAGCATCAATTGGGAGGAATTTGAGTCTGAAGAAGAGAAGGAGGTGACCCCGTACGAAAAGGAAGAGGAGGAGGACCAATGCTATCCTGAAATGGGGGACAAAACAAACCTGGTGGTTAGGAGAGCTTTGCAAGCCCGTGTGGAGGAACCTTTGGCGCCACAAAGACAACACATTTTCATCACCAAATGTAAAGTTGGTGACGAGGTATGTGATTTAATTATTGATGGGGGCAGTGAGGCTAATACTGTGTCGAAAACCTTAGTATCTAAACTAGGTCTTACCACCACAAATCATCCACATCCTTACAAATTGAGTTGGTTAGATTCTAATGCTAGTACTGGGGTTAGAAAGCAATGTATGGTGAATTTTTCGATTGGTTCATATCATGATAGTCAATTGTGTGATGTTGTTTTAATGGATGCTTGTCATATTCTTCTTGGGAGGCCGTGGCAATCTGATAAAAAATCTATCCATGATGGGTACCATAACACCTACACTATCACTCACCAAGGGAAACAAAAGAAATTGCACCCTTTACCACCCCCACGGTTTTCACAACCACAAAAGCCACAAATTTCTTTATTGTCTTGTAAAGAGTTTGAGAGGGAATTTGAGGGTGAGGAAGAGATATTCATGTTGTACTCTAAAGAAATCCATGAAAAATTTGTGAGTCAAAATCCTAAACTTGCCAAACTGATTAAAGAGTTTGAGGATGTTTTTCCGGATGAGTTACCTAAGGGATTACCACCCTTGAGAGGAATTGAGCATCAAATTGATCTCATTCCAGGCGCACCTCTACCAAATAAACCTGCCTATAGATGTAACCCTTTAGAAACTAAGGAGTTGCAAAGACAAATTGAAGAATTGATGGGTATGGGCTATGTGCGTGAGTCTATGAGTCCATGTGCGGTTCCTGCCTTGTTGGTTCCTAAAAAGGATGGAACTTGGCGTATGTGCATTGATAGTAGAGCTGTTAACAATATTACTATCAAGTACAGGTTTCCAATTCCTAGACTGGATGATATGCTGGACGAATTGAGTGGTTCAAATGTATTCTCAAAAGTTGATTTGAGAAGTGGTTACCATCAAATTCGTATGAGGGAAGGTGATGAATGGAAGACTGCATTCAAGACAAAGCATGGGTTGTATGAATGGCTTGTGATGCCGTTTGGATTGACCAATGCACCTAGCACGTTCATGAGATTAATGAACGAGGTGTTGAGGCCATTTCTTGGCAAGTTCGTGGTGGTGTACCTTGATGACATCCTTATTTACTCTAAAAATGAGGATGAACATTTAGATCATTTGTTTCAAGTTTTTTCTGTTTTAAGAACTCAAAATTTGTATGGAAAACTTGAAAAATGTGATTTTATGTTATATGAGGTCACTTTTCTTGGTTACATAGTTTCAGGTGATGGCGTGAAGGTGGATCCTTGCAAGGTTGAAGCAATTCAATCATGGCCTAGTCCAAAAACACTCACGGAGGTCCGTTCTTTCCATGGCCTAGCTTCTTTCTATAGAAGATTTATCAAGAATTTTAGCACACTCATGGCTCCTATAACTGAGTGTACTAAGAAGGGGACGTTTGAATGGACTACACAAGCTCAAAAGGCCTTTGAAGAAGTCAAGGAGAAAATGTGCAACACTCCTATTCTTGCACTCCCTGATTTTTCCAAGCCATTTGAAGTTGAGTGTGACGCAAGTGGGAAAGGGATTGGAGCAGTTTTGATTCAAGAAGGGCGTCCAATTGCTTATTTCAGTGAGAAGTTGAGTCAAGGCAAGTTGAACTATTCCACCTATGATAAAGAGTTCTATGCTATGGTACGAGCTCTAGATCATTGGTCACATTACTTGAGACCACAACCGTTCATATTACATTCGGACCATGAATCTCTAAGGTTCATCCATGGTCAAAAGAAGTTGAATTCAAGACATGCTAAATGGGTTGAATTCTTGCAAACCTTTAACTTTTCCTCTAAATACAAGAGTGGAAAGGCTAATGTTGTTGCGGATGCCTTATCTAGAAGACACAATTTGCTTGGAGTTGTCGAAGCAAAAGTTCTTGGGTTTGATTTGATCAAAGCATACTACAAGGAGGATGGAGATTTCATTGAAATAATACAGAAATGTGTCCATGGAGTATATGACTTGTTTTCCTTACATGATGACTTTCTTTTTAAGGGAAATCGGTTATGCATTCCTAAGTGTCCAATTAGAAGCTTGTTGATTCATGAGGCTCATGGAGGAGGTCTAGCTGGTCACGTGGGGATTCAAAAAACAATGGAGCTTCTTCAAGCTCACTTTTATTGGCCAAAGATGTTAGCCACGGTTCATCATGTGGTTAGTCGTTGTTCTACTTGTCAAAGGGCCAAGATGGTGTTTCACAAAGGTCTCTACAAGCCTTTGCCAGTTCCGGAGAGACCTTGG